TTTTTGTAATGAAACTCTGATGAATGGAAGAATGTGGAACTTTTGTAAATCAATGCATGTCTATATTGATGGGTTTTATGTTATTATTTTGAGGGCGTTACAGACATTGTCACATCATTCTTACGATATTTTTAATATGAATTTTATATATGTATAGCATTTTTCAATCATCAAATGTAAATTCAATCAAAATATGTAAACACACCTGAGAATATATAATTCTACTATTTTGTCATAGATATCCAAATAAATTTGTTTTTCATGGACTACCAAAACTATTTTCTATTAAGTTTTGTTTTTCGTTATACCTAATCAAAAAATTATTTTTTTTTAATAATAGATGTATAACTCAAAACAATATCTTTTATTATTTTATTCTTTTTAACATATCTGTCTGTTGCATACATATACATTGGTAACATCAATTATTAGAAGTATTTATAGTTATGTAAATTTTATGACTGTACATGATAATCCATGACCGCACAGAAGACACTCAAATTTTTGGTAAATTGATTCAATTTGGACATTTTGGAGCCAAAAATTAAAAAAGAAAAAAGAAAAGATGTGCATAGATTAACAATTTGACTTCAAATGTCCTGCTCTAAAAATAAAATAAAATAAAAAAATAAAAAAGAACATACTTCTCGGTGTGCACATCTATATAAATATAGGTGTTTGTACATATAAATTTGAATCTCTAATGAGGAGAGAGATGTGAAATTGGATAGATAAGTATAGATTATCTTTATTATATATTCAAATTCAAATTTAAATTATTTTTATTTTCAATTTTGTTGATATATATATAGTATTTAAGAAAATTTACCTATAAATCTCATTTTTAGGAATGGTGATCCATTTAGTCTTAAGGATTTTCAATTCAAATATTTTGAATTTTGGGATAGCTTTCTCTCTTTTTTCCCCCTCTCTTGTTGATAAGTTTGTATTTGGATAACTGTTATTCTAAGAGAACATATTATTAAATTATTAAAGAAATTAATTTTTATGTTAAATGGAAATGATGTGAGAGGAGTGAGTTTGAAACTTAAGTGTCACATAATTTTTTAAAATTTTAGATTTTATAAGAAATTAAGAATAGATATTTGAAGGCCTAAGAGCACACCTACTACATTTGCTTATATATATACTAGTGGTAAACCCGTGCTGTGCACATGATTAGTTTAGTAATGTGTAAATTTTTTAATAACGCATTAATTTTTAAGTTTACTCATAAAATTATAATCATAATGCATAGAGATCATCTTTTTAAATTTCAGGGGGGAATGCAAATGTGTGAAGCATTCAACCATACCCATAATAATATAAAATTATATATATATATATATATATATATATAGAGAGAGAGAGAGAGAGAGAGAGGGGGAAGAGAAAGAGCAACATAATAATTTTGTATGTGTTTATAATCAGTTGAAATATAACTGTTTATATAGGAGAATAGAGATGTGAAATTGGATGGATAAATATAGATTATCTTTATTATATATTCAAATTCAAATTTAAATTATTTTTATTTTCAATTTTGTTGATATATATATAGTATTTAAGAAAATTTACCTATAAATCTCATTTTTAGGAATGGTGATCCATTTAGTCTTAAGGATTTTCAATTCAAATATTTTGAATTTTGGGATAGCTTTCTCTCTTTTTTCCCCCTCTCTTGTTGATAAGTTTGTATTTGGATAACTGTTATTCTAAGAGAACATATTATTAAATTATTAAAGAAATTAATTTTTATGTTAAATGGAAATGATGTGAGAGGAGTGAGTTTGAAACTTAAGTGTCACATAATTTTTTAAAATTTTAGATTTTATAAGAAATTAAGAATAGATATTTGAAGGCCTAAGAGCACACCTACTACATTTGCTTATATATATACTAGTGGTAAACCCGTGCTGTGCACAGGATTAGTTTAGTAATGTGTAAATTTTTTAATAACGCATTAATTTTTAAGTTTACTCATAAAATTATAATCATAATGCATAGAGATCATCTTTTTAAATTTCAGGGGGGAATGCAAATGTGTGAAGCATTCAACCATACCCATAATAATATAAAATTATATATATATATATATATATATATATAGAGAGAGAGAGAGAGAGAGAGAGGGGGGAGAGAGAGAGCAACATAATAATTTTGTATGTGTTATAACCAGTTGAAATATAACTGTTTATATAGGAGAATAGAGATGTGAAATTGGATGGATAAATATAGATTATCTTTATTATATATTCAAATTCAAATTTAAATTATCTTTATTTTGAATTTTGTTGATATATATATAGTATTTAAGAAAATTTACCTATAAATCCCATTTTTAGGAATGGTGATCCATTTAGTCTTAAGGATTTTCAATTCAAATATTTGTGAATTTTGAGATAGCTTTCTCTCTTTTTTCCCCTCTCTTGTTGATAAGTTTGTATTTGGATAACTGTTATTCTAAGAGCATATATTATTCAATTATTAAAGAAATTAATTTTTATTTTAAATGGAAATGATGTGAGAGGAGTGAGTTTGAAACTTAAGTGTTACATAATTTTTTAAAATTTTAGATTTTATAAGAAAGTAAGAATAGATATTTGAAGGCCTAAGAGCACACCTACTACATTTGCTTATATATATACTAGTGGTAAACCCGTGCTGTGCATAGAATTAGTTTAGTAATGTGTAAATTTTTTAATAACGCATTAATTTTTAAGTTTACTCATAAAATTATAATCATAATGCATAGAGATCATCTTTTTAAATTTCATAAGTGAAGACAATATTTCAAAGCAAATATTCATAAAATATTATAATCATCCAATTGAGTTAAACAATAAACTTGATTTCTAACTAATGAAATAATCTATGTTAACAATAAATAAGATGTTTCTCAGTGAAACTACTGTCTAAAACATATATATGCTAAAAAAACTAACAATAAACTAAATGTCATAAACCAAATTTATCTATATTTGATAAATTAAAACTCAATAGATGTCACTCATCATATCCAAATGTCCCAAAAAGTACCTGTAAAATAAAAAAGTGTAAACATTTTTTTGTTATGATTTTGAAAAATGTTTGAGAGCTCTAAATTGGGAGCACTAAAGGAGCTCTAGAGAGTGGGTCCCACTTACTGATGTGATGTTTTGGCCTTAGGTTTTTTTTTCTTTTTTCTTTTTTGAATTTCCACCTCATTAGTAATCCATTAGTGTTCCCAAATTAGTGGGATGTATCATTGTTGTATAATTTTTTACATACAAACAAACTTAAGAAAAATATATATATATATTATCGTATGAGGAGTGTTGATTTAATTGTCCTCATTTTTGGATTGTTGCTTCACTTCATTCTCTTCACAGTCATTATTTTTTTGTTGTTGCTGCTGCTGTTGTTCCACTTTAATATTTTCATTACCAATGCGTTGCTCCACTTCATCTAATGCTTGTAAACAAATCATATCATTTTCAATTTCTTCCAACATAACTATCAATGCTCTCATGTCTTGGAAGTCTTTTTTTAATTTTTTTATGAATTTCTTGAATAGGCCATGAGGTTAGAAGTGTGTTAACTATAGCATTAACTAATATTGCAATGTGGGGCTGGAAACCTTTTTCCTAAGCTCATAAAACACTTGTTTTTTATGTAACATATGCTCTCGTACCGTTAAATTTGGAGTCATCCGCTCTTGCTCAAGTTCAATCCATAGAGGATGAACTTCACGCTCCTTCTCCATTAAAGCATCCATTAAGTCTAAGCATCTTTGATTTCATGCTTTTGATAAATTGTTTCATTTACTTCATTCCAACTCGATGGTAAAAGGTCTAATATTGTTTCCATCAATTTTTTTTTCACTTATTTTTTTTCCTAATTTTTGCATTGCTTGACATATTTTGATTTTCCAATCAACAAAATTTTCTACTGGTAAACCCTCTTTATGCGGTATAGTTTCAAATTCATTTATAGCATTTTGCATGGCCAAACAATCACTAACGCGCAAATTTAGAGGAGCCGCATATTTATCTGCATAATGAATTTAACACATTTAACATACAGTTACATAATGTTAGCCAAGTTTTTTAAATAATAAACCACATTTATTATTATTTGAGTAAAATTTATAATGATAATTGTTAACATAAAAATTGTTTCTTCAAAAAAAAAATGAAAAAAAAGGGTACTTAATTATAAAATAAAATAATTGTATGAATTAAACATAGTATATGTATAGACAATTAAATTAAATATAAACATGTAAATTTCAAATGCAACATATGTTTTCATGTATGACATTACTTATTTTAAACAATCAATATATGAAGAGAAATAATAAAATAATTGTTTCTAGGAAAATGAAACACATTTGAAACTCTTGAACAAAATTATTGATCAATGCCACTAAAAACTTCTATGTAAACTACATTTTTTGTGACATCATCCGGTATGCCTTGTTTATTAATAATCAATACCTTTAAGCCTAATGGAGAGGTGACACATGATAGAGTTACATACAGTTGGCCATGAGAGAAGACCAGATTCGGAAGATAAAGGCCCACATTCTTCAAAGTTTGCCCTTGACTCTTACTTATTGTCATAGCGAATGCCAACTTTATTGGAAATTGCCTTCTTTTCATTGTAAAAGGAGCATGACTTTTGAAAGGTGTTAAAACAATACGTGAAAGTAATACTTTCTCACCAACTCTAGACTCTGTAATAACTCTAGCTTCAATTACTCGATTTCCCATCTTATCAACAATTAATCGAGTGCCATTGCATAATCCCAAAGATTGGTTGACATTTCTTAGAAGCATTATTGGTGTTCCAACTTTCAACTGCAAACAATGATTTGGGAGTCCTGGTAAATTCAAAGAATGCAAAAGTTCAGGAGGGTTCATGTCTTGAACATTGCTCTCACTTTCTGTTGGACACAATTTATCAGCACTGTTAAAAGTTTTCATCTCTCCAGGAAGCATCGAAAGCATAATAGAATTGATTTCATCAACATCACTATTTTTAGGAGCTAAAATGCCTCGTTCTTTTAAGTACGACATATCCTGATATTTATTTATGAAATCAGGATAGGTGGCATCGATTAACTGGTGCAAATCTCTTTCTCCATTTTTTATAACAAATTTTTCTGGTATCTGTATCCAATTAGGTTCATAGCCTTCACTAAATGAGCTTCCCATTATTTTCCCTTCACCAACCAATTTAATCCACTCTGCAAAGTCACGTAATTCATGACGCGTATGATTAGAAATATCTTGTGCTATAACACGCATATTTCTGGTAAGATGCAAAACTTGACAATGCTTCCAAATTGTTGACTTAGGCAATGAAGCTTCCACTGTTTGTTCACGCCCACCTCTAGGTACGACAAACAATATTTGTCTAAAGTCACCACCAAGCACAAATAGTTTTCCACCAAAAACCTTATCCTCTGAACAATGTTTTGTATTTTTCAATATGTCCCTAAATGTATAATCAACAGCTTCAAAAGCATGATGACTAACCATTGGTGCTTCATCCCATATAATTAACGACGCCTCTTGAATTAACCTTGCCACATCTGTCCCTTGATTTATTGAACAACATGATGAGTTATCAGGGTCAAGTGGAATCTTGAAACGAGAATAAGCAGTTTGTTTCCCGGGTAAGAGCAAAGTTGCAATACCTAATGATGCAGCAGAAAGAATGATCTTCTTATTGGATCAAAATTTTGCATTTAAAGTGTTCCATAAATACGTATTTCTAGTTCCTCCACTACCATACACAAAAAATAAGCCCCCATGATGAGTGAAATAAACTTCCATTATGGTGTTAAACACTTTCAATCGGTCATCATTCAATCCCATGTACAAAGATTCAAAATATTGCATTTCTGAAATGCTATCGTAGTTCAACTCCTCTCTTATGAGCCTATTAGTAACCATTTGACCTGATCGATATGATGGTAGTGGCATCGGAGGAAACTCTTTAAGAGACCTTCCATACTGATTTAGTATGTGCTCAATTTCAAGCAATCCTTTTCACATTCTTCGAGACGTATATTACCATCCCCAATTTGCCGTCGTACTGTATTTTGTAAATCATCAGTAAGGTCAAGCCAATTATTCTCCCACAATTCATATGCATTTGTAACCTTAGAAAACATTAGCATTGAGCAAAACATATTTCGTAATTGAGCACCCGATGCCCATGTTGAGGCTTCTGTTAAAGACGCGTCTCACTCATTATCATCATCAAGTAAGCCAAGTGCAAGACATGCAGATTTAAATGTTGGGTGACCAATGCCATTAACGGTTCTAATATCTTCATAACATTTTGCACCTCGAACCTTGGTAAGCAACATACGTAAATAAAATCGTTCACCAGAATTAAGATGTGTATAATACAATCTACCTATGCATATTTGTTATTGCCTCATTTTTCACTTATTCTGTTTCTGGTTCCAAACCCATGAGCTAGGAAACTCTTCATATCTTAATGCATTTGCCTTTACATGATCTCTATTTGCTTGAAACCACTTTGTAAACATTGTCTCGTGAACCCCCGGTTGATTAATAATTGACGGAATGTTATCTTGGTCTTTAAATAGAATAGATTATTCCCCAGGTAGATGGTACTGCAACCGTTCAACTGAAGGATATTGCTTTTGTAATTCAAACTCAAATATACGCCAACAACATTCAATTATGGAGATATATCGACAATCTAAGTATGGTTTTACCACATCAACTCTCTACACCGACTTTGTCCATCAATGTTAATTCGATTAACATTATCTTCAATTACAATCGTTGCAAGATCAAGACCTTTATGTATGTACTTATATAAGTACTTGATCAATTTGATGTGTGCACAACGCTCAATATTGATATGGGCATCATATAGTACAATAAGATCACGGTTGTATGGAATGACCCATCTGTTGTCAATTTAAAATCCATTAACCATGTATTTTTTCTTTGTATCCCTTCGCCTATAGATAGCAAATCCATTTTCATCAATACTCGTTTCACTGCAAAAATTCTTCAAATAATGTTTTGAACATTTTCTATTCACCATACATGGAGCATTACGGTTAGCACTGCCACAGGGACCATGTATCACGCACCTCATTACTGTTTGAAATGCTAATGGATCTTCATCCTTATCAAGAATTTTAGCACAAATTAGATCATCAATTTCCTCTGGCGATTATCTTGTCATTTGTTGATAATGTCAAGATAATGTGCGAATGCGGTAATCCTCACTTTTGAAATTCGATGGCATGAATATCTATTCAAGAAAAAATAATAATATTTGTTAACTTTAAACTAACTTTAGCAAATCTAATTGACCAGTTCAAATAAAAACAAACCTGCAATTATTTTGCCAAAGAATTTTCGGTTCTTGAAATATGCCATAAGTTGTTTCAATTTAATTCAAAAAAATCTCGCAAGTATATCCAATATATCCTTTGTGCGTCGATTTGGATTACGCGCTACCTCTTGTTGAATTTCTAACGAATTTGGGTTACAAGTGAATGTGACAAAAAGGTCGGGAAATCCCACCTTTCGACATATTGCGATCGCATCTTGGTAATGCTGAATCATATTTCGTGGGCCACCTGTAAAAGATGATGAGAGTATAAATCTCCTACCAACGGCTGATGCATCACTGTCACCCATAGGCACAACATCTTCTAAACCTCTGTACAAATCTGTCTACAACACATTCTATTTATGCCTGATGAAGTTTAGTCTATCTTGCTCAATAGCTACATAACAATCAACAACAAATTGTTAGAACAAACTCCTCCCTTGCAGTAGCGTTTTCCCTTCTCCAACTCGAATTTGAAGTCTAAATGCATAAAACTCTCTCATTGATACTCATGCTCATTTGTTGTTCGTACCCAGAGTAAAACTTATAGACCTTCTCCATCCATTAGTCCCATAGGGAAAAAGTAATGGATATTGAAGTGGCATGTATGAAGGATGTGTTTCATTAATCCTTTGTAAATGTCCATCCAATTTTGTAACAATTACGTCACGATTTCTAGTGCTTTCAGACCCATCACCAACAATTAATGCGGCAATTTCAGTTGTAGTGGGTCTAGTGTACTGTCTTCCATCCCTTGAACTCAAAATACAAATATGCAATTCTTGAGCACCATTCTCACAGATCATGTCTCGAGCAGTACGAAAAATTGATACATATGGATAGATGATATTCAACATTGACTGTAAACCTTCTAATGCGGACGTATCAATTCCCGATGCCGTCACACCTATTCATAACGTTCATTCTACTACGAATTTCATGCTCAATGTCATAAATATAGAGTTATGCAAATTTAGGCCTTTTTCTAGGTTCCGGTAGTAGAGAACCAATTTTATGAAAATTTGGTCCACTAATACGAAAAACATAAAGACCCCTTCCACCTAACACTAATTGATCAATTTTCCCACCCATGGACATGAAGGATAATTGTCACGACCCAAACCCGCCCCTACAGGTTTAGGGCCGTAACTGGCCAGTAATCCGTGATTACCAAAGGCCTAACTGAGTAAAGCAAATAAGCAGGGCTAGCAGAAGCTATTATGCAAGAAAATAAAACATCCAATGAGCTGTGCATTTACATGAGGCAAAAGACATTGCTACACATATATACATATACACACGTGGAAGTACAACATGCTATTACAAGTTTGTTCAAAAAGACAATTAAAAGGGAGAAAAGATACACTCATGGACAACAATTCCTGACCAAACACATGGGCGCACAATAGAAGGGCGAACATTGGCCACATCAAAACTTGGGTAGATGGGAACCTCGTAGTGAGGTACAATGGTTAGCTCAACAAAACCAAAGTAAGACCGACGCCACTACGTCTTTTCTTGAGCTGGATCACCTACATGATATACTAAAATGTAAGCTAGGGCCCAGTGAATAACAGCTGAATAAAGAGATCATGAGTGATAATTATAATACACATTGAAACACAAACTAAGCAGGTTCATTTGAAACTTGAGAAGCATAACATTTCACGTAGAACATTCGCGTAGTATATTCAAAAGTAGTAAATACAGGCGGTCATGGAGACCGAACATGCGGTCAAGGAGACCAGATAGACGGTCATAAAGACTGAGGATCAGATATAGTAGCTATTGCCACGTTAAATAGGAGCCCATTGAAATGGAACTAACATAACTATATTCATATGAGGAGATGTCAAAGTTATCGTAGTAATTAATGGAAATTGGGATAGGATTACCATTCATTCATATGAGAAACACATCAAAATAACACATTCATTCACATGAGAGACATGCCAGGCTAAAATATAAATTAAAGTAGAGAAAAGATAATTTAAATCATATACATATATTTTCAGCAGTGTTACTCACAGTCCGTTTCACGTTGCAGACGACTGGAATTAGGCGTTTGACCTACACAAATAGATATAAGTATCGTCCATTTAATGCATTGAACACTCAATGAATTAGTTTCACAACTTATGGATTCATGGGTTAAAATGTAAATCACTCTTGTTAAACGTTTATGCAATGCAATTGGACATCATTTATGAGCGTAAAACACGCTAACGGAGGCCCGAGAGTGAGATAAATAACACAGAAAAGTGAACCCAGGGCAGCCAAACAGCCGCACGTGCGGAGCTCCTTGGCCGTACGTGCAGGACCCTCTCCGCACATGCGCCCCCACATGCCTTTTAGATAGAATACTTTCCAGCCTTCCCATGTAATCCGCACGTGCGGGCCCACTTGCCGCACATGCGCCAGTGCACTCCCGTACGTGCGCGCTCCCTAGCGCGCATGCAATTCTGGGTGTTCCAGAACCTAATTTTGCCTTGTTTTTCTGCACCTCAACCTCCAAATCTCAAACCCAAATCCAATCAGATGAAGGCCACAAATTAACAAACATAGTGTATAAACAAGATTCAAGCTCAAATTAAGGCTTGAATTTAGCTTTGATTTCCATAATTTCATTAACACCTTCATAAGTAAAAAAAACAAGGATTTATGCTTATGTTAATTCTATACTTCAACAAACCATGGAAATCTAGGTTAAAACCATGCAAAATCATGTAAATGAGCTTAGGTGATGGTATGTGGACAAGGAAGTGGAAGAGTTCCTCTTGTTAGGTTTACAACATGACTTATACTACCCAACTCGTTACTCTCACCCTCAACCTTATGAATTCAAACTGGAATTTCATCTTCATGCAAGAAATTAGGGAGAATCCTTACCCTGATGAGTTGATCTAGTGAAGTTGTTTCAAGCTCTCTTCTCTTCTCCTTCTTTCCTCTTCTTCTCTAGCCTCCACTCAAGCTCTAGCTCTCATATTCTCTCTCTCCTATTGAGTTCAAGATATTTATATATAAAATATCCTAAGTCTTTAACTTAGATTAACTACATAAGAGTCTCTTTAGTTAAATTACTTAATTAATCACACTATCATCTATCTTACTTTAAGGTGAACCAACCCCACTCACTTAGTCTACCACCCAATTTTATAACTCTACAATCTAACGAATCAGACAGGTCTTTTCACAAGGGAACATATCTGTTAACAGACACAGTGCTTATAAATATACATATAAGGCTCGAATAAATGCATGATCCAGATTAAACATAAAAGTAATCGTAAAAAAAAACAACAGCTAAGGAGAAAGGCGGGTGTTACAATAATAGAGAGTTATATTTCCTTATGTGTACCCTGAATCTCACATAAGTAAACTGTTGTTGCAAAAATTCAAGAGCTTCTGGCAATAAAGGCAACATCACTTGTCCACTTTGACAACAAAGACTAAATTTTGATCGACTCAATGGACTATCTCTTACTTTTTCCTTTATCTACATCGTTGCATGACATCTAGAGCATGTCACTGTTCTCCCACCAAAGTTCAAGCGATCTGAAATTTTTCTCCTTCTAGAACGTGTGGCAAATGTACTACCTGAAATTATTTAGATTTAGATTATAATTATGAATTTCTAGTGTTTGTAAGAAATGTGTATAGAGTACATAGTTGGCTAAATGTTTATTACCAGGTGGATGTGCTCTATTTGAAGTTGGTGGTACAATATTAGGAGCTCGCACTTCTAATTCATTTGTGTCTAATTCATCAGATACAAGAATTTGAATTCCAACGTGACTAGCACCTAGAGCATTGTCATTATTGGCACTGCATGTTTGTCTGAAAGCACCATGTTGCATTCTTTTGAGTTGCAAGATTGTGAGCTTCAAATGTTGATTCTCCTTTTCTATTTTCCGAAGATGATCCTTTAATGTAGGATCGTTACGATCATATTGTGTTAAAAGTAATCTTCTTCTTGCCACCAGCTGTGCCAACTTAGAGGAAAGATATTTTCGATATTGATTTTCATATTGTTTATCAACACCTAATATATAATATAAGATCATATTATTATTTTTGTGATTCTTAAAAGATTATTGAAAATGTGAAGGTCTCACTAATAAGATTGTAAGAAAATTTGAAATGTAACATGATTGTGTAGAAGTCAATAGATTACCACTATGACGGGCACTACTTCGTAAACTTTTCAAATGCAGAACGATGGTTCTCAAACGTCGAGCCTCCTTTTCTATATTGAGAAGACGAATCTTGAAGGTTGGATCATTACGATAAGAATGCCGTGTCAAAAGTAATCTTCTTTTGGCTACCAATCGAGCCATCTTGGACTTAAGTTGTGCTTGATTAATTTCTCGATCAAAAATCATATCCATCCTGAATAGAGTATTAAGTTGAAGCTTATATAACTCATGCTATTAGTTTATAGTATGGATAATGACTTAAGGATGTGTAACATATGACTTTCATATAAAAAAACATGATAATCTATAATTGTTTGTAGTTAACTTTGCGCATTGAAATGATTAACTCCTACATGATAACATCCATAGCAGAATCTATATAAATAGAATGTATCAAACATCTAAAATCATGTAGGTTATATGTTTATTATATATATATATATATATAGATATGATAGTCACTAATTGTTTCTAGTCATATTAAAATCTGCTAAAAAAACCCACAAACATGGTAGTCTATAATTGTTTGTAGTTAATTTTGCACATCGAAATCATCAACTCCTACATGATAACATTTGCTATAGCATTCATAAAAATAGTATGTAACCAAAGATCTAAAAATTTGTAATTCAAACCTGGAAATGTCAAATGGTTAACCAATTGTTGCTGATTTATTTGGAATTTACCTTAAGTTTGCTTGTCTTATTCTTCAATAGAATTCAAACTGGAATACAAAAGATAAAGAATACAAAATCTCAATAAGTACCGTTATTTGTTGTAAGTACGTAAAAAAAAATTAAAAATCTATTATACAACATGGATCTACTCAGGAGCTAATGTAACTATTTGTAAAGAAATTATAACACAATAGTTTTGTAGTAAGCAAAGATAATGTAATCAAATTATTGTTATACATGGGGAAAAAAACACAAAGGAAAAAAAAGATTTATTTTGATTTATTGTTAGATTTTTTTAAAGATTTTTTAAATTACAAAATAAACACAAGGCGGTGTCTTTTTGTGGATGTGTATTTTTTATTAATTTATTTAATTGAGAGTGGGATTTATTTAATTGATTTAAGTTATAGATATTACTAAATTTTATGTGATAGACGTCTGATTCAATAAATTGTGGGTGTTAGATATGCTTTGGCTACCAATCGAGCCATCTTGGACTTAAGTCGTGCTTGATTAATTTCTCGATTAAAAATCATATCCATCCTGAATAGAGTATTAAGTTGAAGCTTATATAACTCATGCTATTAGTTTATAGTATAGATAATGACTTAAGGATGTGTAAAATATGACTTTCTTATAAAAAACATGATGATCTATAATTGTTTGTAGTTAATTTTACACACTGAAATGATTAACTCCTACATGATAACATCCATAGCAGAATCTATATAAATAGAATGTATCAAACATCTAAAATCATGTAGGTTATATGTTTATTATATATATATATATATATAGATATGATAGTCACTAATTGTTTCTAGTCATATTAAAATCTGCTAAAAAAAAACTCACAAACATGGTAGTCTATAATTGTTTGTAGTTAATTTTGCACATTGAAATCACCAACTCCTATATGATAAAATTTGCTATAGAATTCATAAAAATAGTATGTAGCCAAAGATCTAAAAATTTGTAATTCAA